GTACTGCGGCGAAAAATTGAAAGTGAGCTCGAGGGTGACTGTAGACAGAAAATAGTTCTGCCATCCATGTTTGAACAACACATCGTGAGATAGTCAAGCAATCATCGTAATCCTTTCCAGATTACCTTTTTATTACCAATAAAATACACTCAGGAAAAATAATTAAAGCTGTTTTATTAAATAAAAGAAAAACTAAATATGGGTTTTAGTTCGGAGCACAACATCTGGTGATGTCGGTTGCCCGTTTTGTGAATGCTATGGGCCCAATTTTTAAAGCGAGCACACTAGAATGCTGGCCTCGCCGAGATATGTGACCGGTCTCTTTGACCAAAGTTGATTGCTGACTTTTGTGCATATGCGGAAGAGCGGTTTTTGCCCTTGGAGTATGCATTTTGAACATCACACAAGTCTCCTGGCTGTTCGAATCCGATGGAGCAAACTCAGCTGCTTTAGAGCCGCCAAGTTCACCACCTGGCTGATCTTATCCGAGGGTGGCTGAACTGCAACTTTATCGCCACATCTCTGCAGCGCAGAACTCCCGATGGTCCGCCAAAGCCAACCGCATTTGCACTTCTGCCTCGCGGAAGTCACTGACTACGACCACTACTACTACAAGTACACGACGAAAACCATAGCTAGCATGTGACTTCTGGTGTACCCGGAGGATGTACCGAACGCCGGTCTGGAGGGACCACTCTATTCCCGGCTGCTATCGAGGGGCACGGAGTCACCGGCACACATTGAGGTATTTGCAGGTGCAGGCGGCGAGCCAAATCTTCGCACTACAATTCCTCGGGAATTGGTATCAGCACGTCAAGTACCCAACACTGAAAGTCCGTCCGATGGACCTGGAACGATGCTTCGTCGAGCTGTGTATGCGGTACGAGGAGCCTCATTTCTCCATGGTCAAGTCGTTGAGTACCATGCAGAGGAGCTTACCCTTTCAACAGTCTAGGGTGAGACGACGTCCGCCATCAGTGACACGACAGAAATCGCTCCAGTCATAGCGATCTTACGGTGGAAGGCGAAACTCGTGCGTTCTATCGACTCGGTGTCTAAACTGAAAGAGGCGCACGACCTTGTTATTGACCGCTCACTCGGTCAAAATGGCCAACGCGCGGCAAGAAGCATCGGAAAGCTATTGGCTGGAATAGCCACTGTGGCGTCAGTGCCAAAATCACCAGAAAAGATCGAATGGGCGTGCCCTCAGACAGGTGTCGTTTGTACATGCGCATCGGTCACGTGGTCGATTTTGCCTACTACGTCGATGGCGGAAGGACAATCCCTACCCGCGCTCAACTGGGTGAATTATTCTGCGACGACCCTAGTTTCCGGCCGCCACCACCGGCACCACGTACCCAAATGGACGAACTGCATGAAGAACAGGGCACCGAGGAAATGAACGTTTTGACGATCTTCTGCCACCACTAGTATCCACTGGTGGAGCCCTCAAGGGCAATAGAAGCCTCCAATCAGTGTCAGAGAAGGCAAACGACGGAAGCGAGCTATATCACCCGACCACTCACTCTATACTATGAGCTCTCGCTGATAAACCGGAGCTACTGCGAGAATATGTGGACGTACTGCCAAGAAACAACGAACTGAAGTCACACATGCACCGTCCCCTGTCATTCCAACAACAACGCCAAGTGAGAGCCGGCAATTTCAGGAGAGATAAAGAGTTGACAAGGGCATCAGAGATATCTGACTTTATTACAGACAATCGAGCCGATACCAGGCAACGTTTTCGTCCGTCGACAACCCAAGTGGCTGTCCATCACGCAATTACCGCGCCTGAACACATAGGTAAGGACCCTTTGATGTTTGTTGATCATGCCCGAACCTCTGAGGCGACGAGGTTCATGCCACACCCTGCCATTCTGCACCGACTGTACTCATTTGAGTGAGATATCCATTCTTCATCTTCGTCGCTTTAATCGCGACCCTCAGTTCGACTTATCGCGTCTCAGTGTGTTAACCTGAGCAACGTTTTGGAAAAGATCAATCTGCCTACGACGCCCAAGAACCTGACGCGAATGCAGTTGGCCTCCGCTATTTCCACCCTGAGTTAGTATGGAGGGCAATTCTTTGATTCAACAACTTGTGGCCTCGTGGCAGCGGCTCAAGAGTTCGTGGACCGCCTCGTGGACTATGAACCGTGGTTTTCTATCGAAATTAAAGCTTAACGTTTTGGTGTAGCAACTTTCCGGGGGCTACCGCCGCGCCGTACAGTCCGATTTAGTTCAGGGAAGCGACTCCAGAAGAAGAGTACAAGGACGTTGGACATTCCAAAATGCAGAGCTTAGCGCACTTCTGTTCTAGCTATCACGAGGGAATCCCAGACAGGCAAGGCAGTCAATCAATACATCGGTGGAGAGAACAGGACAGAAAACAGAATGGGGCACATATGGCGAAGCGCGGTGAACACTCTGCCGACAAAGGGGGCGTATAGTGAGACCCGGACTTGGGGGTCAACTTCTAGGATGGTAACACCGGAAATAACCCGAAAGTCGAGTTGGCGTGTGACCTTGTGGCTTATCCTCGTAGGTGTCGAATTGCTGAACTTGGCGCTTCGGTAC